GGTAAAACTATTTTCTCCAAAGTGGATTTAGTCAGAGCTTATCACCAGATACCAGTCGCTCCTGAGGACATCGAGAAGACAGCTATTATAACACCTTTTGGCTTGTTTGAATTCCTACGAATGCCTTTCGGGCTGAAAAACGCTGCACAAACTTTTCAGCGCTTCATGGATCAAGTCACGCGGGGCCTTGACTTTGTATTCGTTTATATCGACGACGTACTAATTGCTAGCAAGTCGGAAGAGGAACATAAGACTCATCTTAGCACTTTGTTTCAGCGTTTCGAACAGTATGGTGTCGCTATAAATCCTAAGAAGTGCATTTTCGGTGCCTCTTCTATTCAATTTCTGGGACACTACATAACTGCCGAGGGAATCAGGCCTACTGAGGAAAAGATAGATACAATCAAAAACTTTCCCCAACCAGACTCTTTGAAGAAAGTCCGACAATTTTTGGGGATGTTTAATTTCTATCGACGTTTTATTCCTTCGTGTGCCTCTATCGTCCAACCTTTAACCGATCTCCTTAAAAGTGATCCTAAAAAATTTCAATGGTCAGAGCAAGCACATGAATCTTTCTGCAACGCGAAAGACGCTTTATCTAAAGTCGCTATGTTGTCTCACATCAACCCCGACGCATTCCTTATCTTGTGTACAGATGCCTCCCAAGTAGCTGTGGGCGCGGTGTTACAGCAGAAAATTAATGGTGACGTTACTCCACTTGCTTTCTTTTCGAAGAGGTTAGAACCGGCTCAGACACGTTACAGTACTTTTGGGAGAGAATTGTTGGCTATATACCTAGCAGTCAAACACTTCAGTTACTTACTACAGGGTCGTCATTTCACTATTTTTACTGACCACAAACCTCTGTGCTATGCTTTCACCACTTCGCTGGATAAACACTCCCCAAGAGAAGCCAGACAGTTAGACTATATCTCCCAATTTTCAACTGACATACAATACATCAAAGGGGACGCAAACGTGGTAGCTGATTCTCTTTCAAGAGGTGATATACACCAGCTTGAAACTTCCGTAGACGTCAGTCTTGACCGGATGGCTCAGTTACAAAGAAACGACTCAGAACTTCGAAAGTGTCGCGAAAACTCTTCCTTACAGCTCAGGGACGTACCTATTCTCTTATCAGATGCCACTATAGTTTGTGATGTCTCTACCGGCACTAATCGTCCGTTTGTTCCTCTCCAATGCCGAAGAGCTTTATTTGACCACTTACATTCGCTCTCTCACCCTGGAGTACGTGCCACCGTCAGACTCATCAGCGAACGTTTCGTGTGGCCTAAAATGAACTCTGACATTCGGAGATGGGCACGAGAATGTCTCCAATGCCAACGCTCCAAAGTACATCGCCACACTATCACAACGCCAAAAACGTTCGATTTACCGGACAGGAGATTTCAGCACGTTCATATAGATATCGTAGGACCATTGCCAACGTCAAGAGGATATACACATATCCTGACAGCCATTGATAGATTTACTCGTTGGGCTATTGCATGCCCCCTGAACGATATATCGGCCGAAAATGTTGCTTTGGTTTTCCTCGACCGCTGGGTGTCAAATTACGGTGTACCAACTACGATTACATCCGATCGAGGTGCTCAATTCCAATCGACGCTGTTTCGTGAACTGACGAGACTCCTGGGAGTTAAACATATCTCCACAACAGCCTACCATCCGGCAGCGAATGGTCTTGTGGAAAGATTTCACAGACAACTGAAAAGCTCCCTGATGGCACAGAGTGATGCATCTAAATGGAGTGAATACTTACCTCTGATTTTACTTAGCATACGATCAACTGTTAAAGAGGACCTTGGTTGTACACCCGCACAACTAGTTTACGGCACTACCTTAACACTGCCAGGACAGCTAGTATCCTCTCATGACTCTCAAAATGTGAATATTTCTGAGTTTTCTGATCAACTGACCAGACGAATGTCACAACTTCAACCAATAGCTCCGAGACAATGTCCCCGCAGAGAAAACCTAAGTAGCCATCTACAAACCTGTAAATTTGTCTTTATACGGATCGACAACGTCAGGAAAGGGCTACAACCTCCATATGAAGGCCCATACCCAGTAGTGCATCGCGCGGAAAAATATTTCACAGTGAGCAAAGAAGGTAAAAAGATGACGGTCTCCGTGGATAGACTCAAACCTGCTTACACAGATGGCGACGACATCCCAACAGCGACTTCAGCAGACAAACAAGAAACCGCCAAAGCTCCAGAGGTGCCAATAATGCTACCTCCCCCTTGCATTACTCGTAGTGGCAGACAGGTTAATAAACCTGCCCGTTTTGTACACTTTACTGATTAATATCTTTAAGGTTGTAACAATTTTTTTTTACGTATACATCATTGATTATTGTTGTTAATTATTGACTTACGTAGTTTATTTGTGTCAGATACGACATCATTTTTGTGCTGAAGCATTGCTATTTTTTTTTTTACTACCTCAGTACTGTATATGTGTATATATGTATTCACAACTATTCTCCCATAATTACTACTATATTGGTTAGCGTTTTAACGGACATTATCTTTATTATTATTATTATTATTATTATTAGTGCCATTCAGTTTGATGCCATTGTTCTAAATAACATTGACCTCTTTTGCAATTTTTTTTTTCTTTTTTTTTCTTTCATGTGTCATATAAACAGAGCTGACGTATACTCACCTGTGTTTATTAAAAGAATATTTTTTTTTTTTGTTTGTTTTGTGTGCGTGTTCACTCTCCGTAATATGTATCCATTGTACTCCCACCCACTTCCAGTTCAGAAGTTGATGTCGAACTATTCACTAAAGCGTAAAAAAAAAAAAAAAAATCTTTTCCATTTTTTTTCCGCATTCCCATAGTGTTATGTAGCATTATAATTATTTTTCTTCTCACAATTGTACTGCAAATCGTCGGTAGCAGTCCCTCCGGACTTCTAAGAGGGGGAGCCGTGTGGCGACCTGAAAACATATCAAATTATATGTTCACGGAAAAAAGAAGGAATTCAACCTGAAACCTTGAACCGCGCGCAAGGAACGAATCGTTCGCTCTCTCTCTGGTTGCTCGCCCAGCACATCTGCTGACCAACGCTGTCTCGCACTGGTTGACACATCCCCATCAAGAACTTTGCTCCTATCTGCTTTACTCTACGTGGAGACTTCCGACGGTTGACAGCTCTAAGTTGTAGTGGAGAATTGGTATAATCAAGAGAAGGACAATTACATTCCAATAATTTCGTACGTCTATAATTTGTGTATTTTGTGACTGTTATAGTTTTTCTTCAAATAACCTCAGTCCTTTTTGTGTATATTAACTTGAAGTGAACTGAATATCTGATATATACGTATTTGTTAGTACCTGTTCTGTCCTTTTAATTGCGTTTATATACTTACCTAGCTACTAGGTCCACTACAAGCTACCTCTTCAGTAAAATCCAACGAATATGCACTGAATACACACTTGATGATGAAGAAGAAAGAAAGTTGACACAAACTCTGGTTGATAACAGTTATACAGACAAGTTCATCATCAGGAGATATAAAGTAGTCAGAACACCAAGACCCACTCACTCTCCAACTCGCACCTAAGAGAAACGTGTACATCAAGCTACTCTAGATAACTAGACAAAGATTGAACGCTGCTGTTAAAAAGACTTTTTATGCAGCTAATATCATAATAATTGAGAATGTGAAGCCAATATATCTATCTAAGCCCTTCGAACATGCGAAAAATGATGTCACATCCCACTGTATTTACCAATTTGAATGTACATGTGGACACACATACACATAGGGAGAACTCATCGACCTCTTCAAGCTTCACAACATATTCCTAAATGGCTTCAGAAGCAAATAGAATCTTCAGAACCCATTAATAGTGAGGATAGGCTACCTAGCTCCCCTATTGCGAAACACATCACAGAAGAGACAGGACATAAAATTGATGTTTACACGTCTTTTAAACCTATCCATAGAAAGTGTTTGGGATGGATCCTAAAGTTTGTGGAAACCCTAGCTGACAATTAGGAAGTTCAAACCACGTTTATGCGATCACAGCAACAACTCGTCACCACACTAAACCTTCCTTCGGGTAAACTTTGTTTTGATACCATAGCAGATGTACTATTGTAGCAAAGAAGACAAGGGCCAGGCAACAGATCGTTTATTAGGGAAATCAAAGCATATTTATATATTTTCATGTACATTATTATAGATTAGTTAAGCAAACAAACACAGTCTCCTGATTGGTTGTTTCTCACTTAAAGTTAATCTTTCATCTCTTTGTGACTGTTTCTTGAATGTCAGATCATCTATATGTTAACTGTATCCGCCTACGCAAAGTCTGCTGTGGTCAGTTTTGAATCAGTCTTTGTTCATATTTTCTCACAACAAATCTTGAGAACGTAAACATCGACGTAAATTACTGTCTACCAATTTGGCTAGTAGACAGCTCTCACCACACTATTACCTCTCTTATTTGGTTTAGTGATCTTCATTTTTATTCTGACCTTCAATATATCCTTTTAACTTGATCTAAGTGGTCTATTTTCTCACCTCTTAACTCTTTATGAATTTCATATATATTCATTCCTATGACAAGTCCGTGTGTGATCAGATTGTTTGAAATGTGTTGCACCCAAATACATTACACACACGATTTAGACAAATTACGTCTTCTTCTGGCTTTGTCTAAATTTCTATATACTGTTCCGTTCAAAGTCCCGTCAGTCTCCTTTGTAAGTCGACTACTCTAACAGTTATATTCATCAGCATTATTAATGGAAAACAGATTCGTGCATGCAAGAGGCTTGTAGTTGAAAAGAAGTCTGTCTGATAACAACCCAACAAAATAACTTCATAAGAGAAAAGACATTTTAGTAAAACAAAATCATATTGCTTAAAGTATAACCCTCAATTGACAAAGTGTTTATCACAGATTATTTGCAAAATAGTTAATAAACAAGCACACACACACACACTTAGACAACTTTATGGATAGAACCAATCAAGAAAATGTAATGAAAGTGTTAATACAATAAGTATGAATAACATCCAGAATTGTACAGTTGCTTTAGTATTAATTGCTTCTAAAAGAAGTTCATTCCCTTGACGAATATACTCTGTAGCAGTGACAGATGAACTGCCAATTTGCTCAATTTTCTATAAAAAAAAATAAACAAAGAAGAAAGCACATTGATGAATAGAATAACGCAAAACTATTGTTAACTAACTTAAATGCTAATATATATATTCAGAACAAAGTAGTTAGAGCGAACAATTGTGCTTTGAATAAATTCTTCTTCAGGCTCTACAATTATTAATCCATTAATTCAAGCATACAATGGCCTACAATAGCCAGACAGTCAGTAAAGGCAAGTTAGAATCATTTCAAAAATGTGTATTGTGGAACAAGTATAAGTTTGATGGATTTGATGGAACAATAGTCAGTTAGTTTAGAATATACATGGTCAGTGAGAACATGAGATAGAATGAGATGAAATAATTTAAAGATGTGTGTGTATATGTATGGTGAAAAAAATACAGGTTTCGAGGGTGAGTGTAATCAGTGGTGTGTGAGACAATCTAAATACTACAGAAAATAAACCAACCAATGGGGTGGAGGAGCGGTAAGTTCAATAATGAAAATAACGACAATGATTGTGAAATAATAACGGTGATATGCTGTAAACTTAAAAGTAATATTGGTGAATGATTGTCAAATAATAATAATAATAATAATAATAATAATAATAATAATAATAATAATAATAATGAATTTAGTGAAGTGAAAGGAACAGCATTTTGGAAATATGATAACAAGTTAGAAAAGCACTGCTTAAACCTAAGGTAATCGAAATCATAAGAAAGTCATGAAATCATAAAAGTCGAAAATGAACGTTTGTCAGTGAAACAAATGAATAGAAGAAGAAGAAGGAAAGAAAAGAAAATTGTGATAGGAATTTAAAATGCTAATGTTTATGGAAAATTTGTTGGCCTTATTGTAGGCCAAGGTAAACATAGTAGTTGAACATACTTCTTCTGTATACAAAGAGTCGGTCTTCTGGTATTGATTGCAACCGCTTCAACTACTTACAGGAGAAGTAGTCGAGCTCCTTTAAATAGATTACCAAGAACGTGGTATAAAACTGAGAACATCTGGTCCAGTATCTACCATGTGGGCTAAGACTGTACTGTTTACGTATTTGCTTACATCTTTACTGAGGCATACAGGTACACATTCATGCGGGCGCAGTAGCTGAAGCGGTTGCAATCAATATCAGAAGACCGACTCTTTGTATGCAGAAGAAATATGTTCACAACCGCTGTGTTTACCTTGGCCTACAATAAAGCAAACTGACTTTTGTTCCATCCCAACTTCCTTATACTTGTTTCACAATACACATTTTTGATATGATTCTAATTTACCTTTACTGGCTGGCTATTGTATGCTTAAATTAATTAATGGATTTATAATTATAGAGCCTGAAGAAAAATTTATTGGAAACCACAATTGTTCGCTCTTACTATTTTGTTCTGAATACAATATGCGAATATTCAAGTTTCTAATATTCATATTCACTGAGTTGTACAAAATGGTACTTTTTTAAATTCTTATCAAATGTCTTGATAGCGAAATCTCATCACGGATATAAAAAGTTTGTGTGAGATTTACCAACTTACATCATCTCTGGTATAGACATTTGTACCTGACTATCGATCAAACCCGTGTACAGCTTACCAGTTCTCTGTGTCTTTCTATATGGTTATGAAACAAGGTCATTGAAAATGGAAGACTCGAAGAGGTTAGTTCTCTTTGATCACAGAGTTTTGGTTTCTGTCTCCTGTATACTGAGGTTAGACATAGAGGGTTGGGTAAGGAGGACAAGTCAATCTATAAGCTGCTTCCATTGAGACGGTTAGGGTACGTGTTACACATATCAAGCCAATGCCTCATTCGTGCAAGCAATTTTACCTAACATAGGTTTAGGTTGGGAAAGATTTACAGACGGTTAAATCAATACCTAGCATCAATCCATGAAATCATTGACAGTTGATTTGAGTCAGGTAATTATCGAAGTGTAGACCATCCACCTGGTTGAGGACCTAGGAGTGCTAAGAACCAATGATTTGAGTCTGTTGGTGATGTGGCTCAAAATCATTCTCAGTGGCATAGATGCATTCACTCTTTGTACTTTTTCACTTCTACTAAATCTTCATGTTTCATCACACTACTTACTATTCTTGCTCCCCATTACAGTTCTTTATAGATCGCCATATCAGTATTCTTTCCTTCGTATATTTAAGTTCTCCCTACCTCTGTGTGCTGTATAAGATATCGCGACTTAAACTTCTGTGCAAAGTTCTATGCTGAAACCTACTCCAGTCCGAGTCTTGACTACATGAAATTTAACTAATAATTTGATTTGTCGATAACAGGATCCGTAATCCCGAGTAGTAGTCAATTTTATGGATTATTGAGCATATTAAAATTAATAAGGAAGAGAAAACACAAAATTATTTATTTCAAACTGGACTTTCCCGTTGATTGATTGGAGAGAAGTACTCGACTTCTTCTGCAGATGCGTTCACGATCTCTGATTACTTAACTTGAATTCAATTGGTGGATGGTAACTAGCAGCTGAATCTACCAGGATGCGCGTTTCGTCCTATTTGAGGCTCGTCAACTGTGGATGTACCGGCAGTTCCCACTAAGTGAGTGGTGGTGCTCAAACTCAGTACCCAGTAGACTCATGGCTAGAGTGATCTAGTAGATAACGCTTTGGCTTTTGAAACTAGGGATTGTCAGTACATCCAGATGGCGAGTCCCAAATAGGATGAAACCCGCATCTTGGTAGATTCCACCAACTGACTTCAAGTAACATAACCATACGTCATCGAAGCATCTGCGCAAGAAGTCGACATGTCAACCTGACACACCGAGCACTTCAGTCCAATCAAATATCGACAGGAAAATCTAAAATTGAATAAATTAAATATAAAACAAAACTTATACCTCTAATTGTTCTGATAAATGTTCTGTCAAGGTTTGATTTAAATAACCAATTTCAGAGATTTTCTTAGCCACTTGATGTATTTCATCTTTTTCTCGGGTTAATTGTTCAAATAATTCATCATTTTCTATTTTAAGTGTGTGTAATTCAGTATCAGTTAAACTTGTATCCCCATCATCATCATCATGATCATGATCATGTCGATGTTGTTGTTGAGATTCTTTTTGTTCTTGTTGCTGATGGTGTTCTTGTTGTTGTGAAATCTCAACACTTTTTTGTTGATGACCACGTCTTCTAACGACTGTTGTATCATCAAGATCACTGGTAGGTTTTAAGTAGGCAGAAATGTTTGTACCAGTCGAACCACCACGAGCAGCAGCAGTAACTGATCTTACACCTGTGGCGAGATTTCCAGAGAATTCTACAAGACGTTTTTGACGATTCAACTGAAAAACAAAATAAAAAGACAGTTAAACAACATAATAGATTTTTTATTCACTTCAAGAGTGCAACAATAAGATATGCATGTTTCAGGATTTCATCATGAACTGACATCGGTTAGAAAATCTCATTGGAAAACCAGTGAATACTAGACAGCTGTTTTGTCCGTCTAGCTTGGGACTGCTCAGCACTATGCACCCACCGGGGTCGAACTAAGACCTCTGGCTACAAAGCGACCTTGTAGACCATTAAGACACCGAGAGATCCTGGGTTTGAGCACCGGTGGGTGCGTGCTGTTGAAGAGTACCAAACAAGGACGAAACAGCTATCCAGTACTCCCAGGTTTTCCAATGGCTCTCTAACCGATGTCAGCTCATGATGAAATCCTGAAAACAATCAAATCCCTGCAAACCAACAGTTAAAAGCTTGCATGTATCTGTGGGAGCAATTACACTGAGAGAACAGAAAGAAGAGGCACACCTTCAATTTTTGCTGCACGAATATGTAGCGAAAAATCCTACGTCTTAAGGCGACAAAAGCTTCGTGTCATTGCCAGAAATCTCCTTTAAAATTATCAGTAGAAAAAATAACTCAATTATCCTCAAGTGCTGCTGACGCAATCGCTACCAGAAGCTTGAATCCCAATTTATGTGTTCAGAAGGAAGCAGTTATCATAAGTGGATGTCTTTGTTCTCTCTCTTTCCTGTGACTATGTAATTTTTCGCCTTAACCTCTTGTCATTATTACGTTCGCCTTGTAACCAGAAGGTCCTGGGTTCGAACCCTGGCGGCGGGCGCGTACTGCTGAAGAGCCATAAATTGCGACGAAACAGCTGTCCAGTACTCCCAGGTTTTACAGTGGTTCCCTAACTGATGTCAGCTCATGATGAAATCCTCCATGCAATCAAACAAAATCCCCACAAAACCAATACTTAAAAATTAAACATGAATTGTCTGTCAACTGACACCATGTAATATTTGCAAGCATACTAAAATCCGACAGTTGGTTTTCACGGATTTGATTGGTTACAAGATTTCATCATGAGTTGACATCAAATTAGAGAACTATTGGAAAACCACACTAGGGCATAGTACACAACCATTTTGTCAGCCTAGTTTGGGAGCTTTAAGCAGTACTCACCCACTATCAGGTTTCGAATCTACGACCTTCCGTTAACAAGGCGAACTATCTCATAGACCACTCAGCCACTTGGATCCAATCCAGTGACGAGTGCATGAATTCCAACTTCTGCTTATTCACGCACGATTTAAAACGCAACTGACACTAGCTAATATCATCAGTGGAAAGTATTGGTCCTCATACCCACACAACCTGCTGTAGTACCCCACTGGTCAAGACTTCCCACTAGAACCCAGGTAACTTCGTGTACAAGGTGAGTCGCTAGTGAGCATCAGATTAACTATAAAGTACTGGCCTGCAAGAATTTGACTGTTGACAGGATTAATTACGAGCTGACATTACCTCATAACCGGAAGGTCCGGGGTTCGAACCCCGGTGGGTGGGTGCGTACTGCTTAAGAGTCCGGAACTAGGTTGATGAAACAGCTATCCACTACTCCCTAGTGTGACTTCCCAATAGTTCTATAACCGATGTCAGCTCATGATGCAATCTTAAGTTAAAACTGCTTCTATAATACGTCGCAATATCGAAGAATTATTACCCCTACGTTCTCTTTAGCTCAGCCCAAACAGGACAGGACAACTAACCAATTTTTACAGTTTTGTCCCCATAGACAGAAAAAACAAATCTAATCCGTTCTCTTCCAACACGGGTTCGGAGAATTTGTAGTGAAGATAGTGTTGATGATGAACTCAAACAACTGAAAGAAATCTTCAAAGAGAACTGGTATCCACTGAGCTTCGTAGAGGCCAATAGCAAATTACGTGGAAGGACTACAAAGATTGATAAGGTAGCTAAAAAAGTGTTACACCTAAACTTAAAATTTAGCGGTGACACTGCAGGTGAGATACTTCAAAATCGTCTGATGAGATCATTGAGACGAAAACGTTCTTTACTGTCACTTTACGAATAACCTACTCTAGCCATCCACTAGTGCACCTTGATGATGTCAAGGAAATGTTACCTCGATTGTCTAATTCCATGTGTATTTTTATATGTGTTCACCGCAGTGCCATCCTTGAACTCTAAATTTAGGTGCAACAGTTTTCTAGCTACTTTGTCAATCTCTGTATTTCTTCCAAGTAATTTGATATTGGTCTCTCATAGTGTACTTACTTTACTTTACTTCGGCTATCTCCTACGGGAGGATGAGCCGGCTTCATGAACATCTCGAATCATCGCTGCCCAGGCGCAGCGATCTGATGCAAGGTTTTGCGACAGGGTTATCCCATTCTTGTTCCACAGACGGAGTCCGTAGACAGTTTGTAGCCCCAGGCACTCCATATCAGCCTTGACTGTACCAAGCCATGTTTTCAGCTGTCCACCCCGGCGACATCGCCAAGATGGTAATGGTGAGGGATTTAGAACTGATTTGACCAGATCGTCATCTGGTCGGCGCAGAACATGGCCAAACCACAGAAGGCGACGTTGTGGGAACAGTACTGGAATTTGGTTGTGGTGAGAGTCGTTTGTAAGAGAGTTCATGAAGTTTCATGGGAATTTGGTACGAGTGATGTCCCCAGAATCGCTCGGCCTTTTCTTTGAGAGTGCAGCTCTAGCCTTTACACAACCAAGTGTGACCTACAAGGCAGTAGGAGTGGAGTAGGGAGTCCACTATCCATTGGAAGCCGGTGACCGGAGTTCGGTTCATACGCCTTTTTGAATGGGGCCAGACATCCAGGACATCCAACAAGCCCTTTGTCCATACGTCTGCCGGTGAGCTCCAGTGAGCTTCATACGTCAGTCGTTGGAGGTTTAGAATCAGGGTTTAGCCATCTCCCCTCTCTCTCATAGTGTGTGTATCACTGTATGTGGGATATTCACAGCTGAAGTCCAATTGAAATTTGATAAACTCATTACATCCTGTTTTACTGACCACACTTGTTATTTGTTTTTAACTGAACGGACACATTCAGTTTTTGATTTGCAAGGACCAGTGGGGTACAGCAGGTCAGATGGGTGTGAGGACAAATACTCACCACCGATGACATTGGCCAGTGCCAGTCGCACTATATCAGTGTGTGAATTAGCAGAAGTCGGAATTCATGCACTGGTCACTGGATCGGATCCATATGGCTGTATGGTCCACAGAACTCGCTCACCTTGTTACCGGAAGGTTTGCACCGATATGCAGCAGTTCAAATCACTACACTCCCTCCAATCAGCACACAAAGCAAGAGAAGAAGGTGAGAGGAAACGCAAAATAGAGACAGTAAACAGAGATATGAGGCAAAAGGAATAGTAATATCGAAGAACAATATAGTTTTATTAAGTATTTTAAGTCACAAGGAGTGGATGCATCTGTACCAGCCATCGAGGATCAACTTTGAGCCATATTAGCAATTGTCTGCAGCCATTGGTTTTTGCGGTCCCGAGGACCCTAACCGGTCAGCAAGTCTACACCTTCCTAATTGACTGCCTTTAACTAACTGCTATGGATTTTATTGACTGACGAAGCTATGTTTTGGTTTGACCACCACTGGCTGACTCTTTTCCAACCTGACCCTATATCATCTAACATTGCCCATCAAGGAAGGCGATGACTAGTCATGTATGTGTAACACATGTCCTAAACATCTCAGTCGATGTAACTTCACAGCCTCGTCAATTGATTTTCCCTCCTTACCTAGCCTACCACCGACCGATGCCTCTTCTCAATATTCGTCACCCTACTATACCACTTCACAAGGGAGATAGAACGCAGACACCTATGATCAGAAACAGCTAGCTGGCCTTTTCATGTCCTCCACTCTCAATGGCCAGGTCACAGCCATAAAGGAGGACGGAGCGGACTGATGAGCAATACACACGCCCTTTGGTCGATAGCCAGCCAGCCTGATATCACGTCTACGCCAGAGATGGCATAAACTGGCATATGCGAAACTAGCCCTCTGTATCCGTTCTGAGATTTCGTCAGCCATCAACCCGCTGGCATTGGCTGATGCAACTTCGCAAATAAGTGAAGCGGTCAAAGGGCTCTATCACTTCACACCCTATTTCTAAGCTAGAAGTGAGTGCATTCCAGTCCCGTCCTGTAGCATCATCTTACATTTGGAGGGAGCGAATCGCATGTCAAACATTCGCAGATTACAACTCAAGGTGTTCAGAAGACTCTGAATTTTGTCAGCGTGTTCACACAGACAAGGTTCAAACCTACAACGGGAAGTTTGTACGTCCGAACCCTGCCGGTGGGTGAGTACAGCTTAAGAGTCACTAGTTTAAAGGTTTATTTGTTCTCTGTCCCTGTATACTGGAGTAAACAGATGCACCTTTAAAATAAAATTCAAACAACAACGATAACCGCGGAAAAACGTCAACTCACTTCATCAGTTCTTATTTTCTTCAAGTGATCTAACTCTTCGCTCAGCAATTTATGCACAGTTAATCGATGTGATATAAGTTGACTTTTATTATTCACCTCTTTAATTGTTTTACTTCGATTATCATCATTACTGTTATGATGATGATGATGATGACAATAGGAATTAAATCTTTCAATTGAATCAATAGGACAGTACACTGTTCAATCAATAAATTAACATGTTCTGTTAATTCTGAATGTAAACGTTGTTTAGTCACATTGACTAAAGTACCAGATGTTAACTGATGAATTCGTTTTAAATATTCCGATAGAGCTTGTAAATTTGAATGAAGACTTTTAGCACGTGATTGAAATGAGAATTCATAATCCGGTGATGTTGATGGTGATGATGTTGGTGATGACGATGTCTTTGATGCCGCCGTCTTGTCATCATTTTTCTCTGAACTGACTTCTTTACAGGTTGTATGTTGGATAGATGAAACAATTGTGTTGAATACTTGAGATATATCACAAGCCATAATAATAATAATAATAACAATAAGGAAGATGACGATTGAACATTGAACGTGTATCGATCACACTTCTTTAAATAAATTATAAAAAATAAATTTTTATCAGAATATCTTCAAATCAGAAAATCAATATTAAGACTCAAAGAAACTCTTTCAATTTAATGAACGAAATATTCCCATATTGAGTCATAAGAAAAAGACACAAACAGCGAAGAAAATTTTCTTTTCGACGATTCATTTTCATGAGCTGTACAATCGTAATTATAATGTCCCACTTCGACCGGTCATAGACATGGTTAACTCATCATATCATCAAATTGCGAAGTGGCTAGCTGATATCCTCGAACCAGTTCAAAGACATATGACAAAATATAGCCTCAGAGATACATTTGACTTCATCGACTCAGTGAAGGATGTCAACGTGTCTGAAAGACAAATGATCTCACTAGATGTCGTCTCTCTATTCACAAGCATCCCCCTAACTGAAACAATATGCTTCATTTGTGATTACATCGAAACCAACAACCTAGAAGTTCCTCTCCCAATAAACTACCTGAAGGAACTTCTTCTCAATATCCAGTTCAAATTCAATGAAAAGTTCTATGTACAGAAAGATGGAGTAGCTATGGGGTCTCCTCTCAGTCCACTCCTAGCCGACTGCTTCATGGCGAGTCTGGAAAACAACATCCTCAATCCCTTGATAAGTCAACTGCACTTATACAAGAGATACGTAGATGACACGTTTATAATCTGTGATGAAAATTGTGATTTAGATTCTCTCCTCAAAACCTTCAACGCAGCGCGTCCATCAATAAGTTTCACCTTAGAAAGTGGGTCGAGCAACACATTTCCATTCCTTGATGTACTACTCACCAGACGACACGACTGTACGATCCAAAGATCAATATACCGCAAGCCAACATGGACTGGACAGTTTATCAACTTTCAGAGCTTCGTCCCACTAATCCGAAAGAGAAACCTGGTACGTACGTTGTGCTCAAGGATTAGAAATATCTGCTCGGAAGACATGATGGAGAATGAATTAAATTTATTACGTAAAATCCTACTAGAGAATGGATATCCACCAAGATTTATTGACAAAAACATGAAGGAGAAGCCTCCAATGTCAAACATCGCAACAGTTCCTAAGAAGACTCTCTTCATGAACCTAGAATTCAAAGGTGATGTCGCAGCGGAAATTCTCAGAAACCGCCTTTCTAAATGTCTGAAGAAGACATTTCCAACAGCCACTCTACGTATCACATTCTCCTGCAGACAGTTAGTCCAGTCTAACGCTAAGGAAAAGATACCGCTTTTGGCCACCTCAATGTGTATTTATCAATTTATTTGCTGGTGTGGAGCAAAGTATATTGGCCGTACGCAACGTCAAGTCCAAAAACGTATTCTGGAACACTGCCCCGCTTGGTTGGCCAGAGGAGAAAAGAAGAATAGCAACAGCTCGATCCTCGAACACCTTGTCATCTTTGGACATCGAGCACCCCCACATGAATGCTTCACAGTGTTACACAGAGTCCCTCAATATCGTACAACGGGACTTCGGATTCGCCATCTGTACATAGCTGAAGCATTAGCTATTCGAGATCTAAAACCGGACCTCTGCATACAAAAGCGATACATACATTCTCTTGCCTTACCATGGCCAGAGTAAAGTTCTTATCACAATTTTGCTTCTTTCCTTTATTACGTAAGTTCACTGTTATGACCATAATTATTTTATTTTATTAATACTTTTATTATCATTTTGTCCCCATCATCCACATTTTATTACCACTCTATCACTGTTTATTAATAACATTGCTTTTCATACATATTTTATACAAAAACACTTTATAGCCTTTTCACTAATTCCTGTCCATTTTACACGAGATTATTGATTATTCACTATCTCACACTTATTACGTCATGCCAACTTCTGTCTCCTTTCTAACTTACAATTAGTCATCCCTTCTTACACCTCACATTATGTAATACAATTTTCCAAGGACAAAATTTACCAGTATCTGATTGGTCTAAAGATTTCTTTGTTAATTATAATTACGATTGTACAGCTCATGAAAATGAATCGTCGAAAAGAAAATTTTCTTCGCTGTTTGCGTCTTTTTCTTTCAATTTAGTGAGGTTATGTAACGCATGGTTATACTGTGGTGAGAGCAGTCTGCGAACAAGCCAAAATTGTAGACAACAATTTACGTCAATGTTCACGTGACGAATCAGGGTCATTAGAAAAACAATAACAAAGCCTAACCTTGAGGAACTCACCAACCCATCACAGGTGAATTAACGTGTGCAAATACGATTTGCAGATATATGGCTTAACTTTCTAAGAAACGGTCACAATCAGTACAGGATAACCTTCAGCAAGAAAACAACTAATCAGAAGACTTTATTTCTCCACTGACAATAATGTACATAAGGTTGCTTCTCCGCTAACAATAATGCTAATAATAATGTACATAAAAATCTATAAATATCTGTTGATTTTCTCAATAAATGATCTGTTGCCTGGCCATTGTCGCCTGTCGTTACAATACAAACACGGAACTAAATAAACCAATACAGCCCTACAGAAGGTCAGTCGCGAGCCCAAATGGACTTTTTGGTTTGGTTCCGTACTAATCATTCACCGCCGGTTACGGACCACCTTAGAATGTACAATTTTTAGGGTCGATCTCTTCTAATTCCTCACTCTTCAAAGTTGAGAGACAACATAGCTGGCATACTGGTCATCTGATTGAAATACCTCATTGCTGTCACATAATCTGAGTAATAAGGGAGTTCAGACCCACAACATTTGAATTGCTAGGTCTTGTAAGATGAATTTCTGGATAACAGACTCCTGAATCATAATACCTCCTTCCAATCCTGTGGATAAAGCAAAACAGCTGGCAACTTAAACACCGCCAAATTGGAATTCCCCTGCAACTCAGATTTTCAATTTGCCTTCTTCAATCAACATCCGTTGAAATATAACTCAAAACAACCACTTGAAATTTAAGGCAACTGACAATTAACCACGTCTACGGGAAATACTCAAATCTCGGCGGGTGGAGACAGGTTTGAACTCCGTGACCCACGGGTTAGGAGCTGGGCATCTAGATCAATGAGTCACCACGGTTCCACATCATTACTCATTACATCAATAATGGATCTACTGATCCACTGCTATTTTAAGACACTAAATTCATCACGAGAGGGGAAGAAGAATTAGACAACAGAATTCCATTCTTAGACGTGTGAATAAAGAACACTAACATAGGAAATTCCGGGAAACACAAGGATACAGAAAATCAACCCACACGCAAACACACAAAATACTCAACTATAATATATATGCAGCCAATATCATAATAATTGAGAATGTGAAGCTAATATATCTATCTATCTAAACCCTTTGACTATGCGACATATGATGACATATCCCATTGTATTTACCGATTTGAATGTATGTATGGCCACACATACACATAGGGAGGACTCATCGATCTTTGCAATTACGGGCTTCACAGAATATTCCCAAATGGCTCCAGTAGCAAATAGAATCTTCAGAACCCATTAATGGTGAGAACAGGCTACCTAGCTCCTCTGTTGCGAAACATATCACAGAAGAGACAGGACATAAAATTGGTGTTTACACGTATTTTAGACCTATCCATAAAAAGTGTTTGGGGTGGATCCTAAAGTCTGTGGAAGCACTAGGTGGCAATTAGGAAGTTTAAACCACCTTTATGCGTTCAAAGCAACAATTCATTATCACAATAAACCTACCGTCCTTGATAAACTTCGTTTTTATAGCAGGGTAGATGTACTGTTACCGCTGTTATTTGGTTTAGTGACTGATCTTCATTGTTATTTTCACCTTCAATATGTCCTTCTAACTTGACCCAAGTAGTCTATTTTCTCACCTCTTAACTCTTTATTAATTTCGTATATATTCCTGTGACAAGTCCGTGTGTGATCAGATTGTTCTAAATGTGTAAATGCGCAAATACATTACACGATTCAGACAACTTACATCTTATTACTTTGTCTCAACTCATAAAGGGAACTAACTGTTTTAAATATAGTAGTAATAACCCAATGACTCACAAAAGAAACTGTCTGCACACATTGTTCAAAAGAATTCAAACACACTGTAGAACTCTTGTATTGAAAAGAATATAAGAGAAGAATACCTACTAACTGTCTTCAAAAAGAATGAATATCCACACACAATTTCATCAGAAAGCGTTTAAACTCAAGTCGTAATACCAACGAGGAACAATCATCAGAAACCACAAGAAAATTCATTCTACCATATATAGAGAATATCTCTGAAACAACTAAGGGCTAAAATATTAAGACCATTTGAAATAAATGTAACGCACAAGTCAACACAATCACTTCATTCGGTATTATGCAAACCAAAACATCCAGCAGAAAAGGAAGATAAAATCAGTACCATTTATAAAATAAATCACATCCACTGAGATAAACATTACATCGGTTAAACTGGGTGTCCCCTTCGAGTCCGAATCCAATAATGCAAATTAGCTGTGATGAAAAGACATGATATGTATTCTTTCATGCTTCAACGTATGTGTAGACAATCACGGACATCCATTAGATTGGGATAATGTAGAAATTTTAAATAGAGGAAACAGCAAAATTACTGTCAGGGAATTTATGGAAGGTCTGGTATTCAAATGAATCAGCCAGCGATTAACAGACACATTACTACAGATGAAATTTACCAACTAATAGAAAAATAATTCACACAACAAGAGAGTTCGAATTCCAAGTAAATAAAAGTGACCAGTAGAGATGTAAATGAATATCCAATCACGACAACCAAAGTTATCAAGAGATACGATTATATCATCAGTCATGGAGAATTCAAATAAGTTCATTTCATGCTAAAACCTGAGCTGAAGATGTTGTTTAGAAGGTGGACGACGAAAGTTTAGCAATTAAATCTACAACCACCTTAACGAACATAACTCAATGAAAATCCATTGCTATCCCAGATTTAATTTAAGTCCTTAATTGTTTGCCTTTATGTTCCCAGTGAAATATAAGATGGCTTCAAGCTACAGTCTTGAAGTTTCTGTAGCAGTGGTGTTTATTTTTACGGGACGAGGTTGCTAACCTGATGCTCAACCAACCTTCCCTCTTCACCAGTTTTATTATTGGCTTAGCGAGGTAAAGGAGTGCGTCTGTTGGTCATGGAACAAACCCCGGACCACATGCGTGGTCGGCGAGCATTCTACCGCTGTGCTATCGACGCCTGTTATCACAGATAGTCTTATCATAAAAATATATCGATAATCTTTGCATAATTAATGTATTAATTTGAAGTGAATACTCACTGTGATAAACAAAACAGGATCAGAACATGATAATAGACTTGTACACTTGTAAAACTTCGAGAAGCTTCTTTCTTTTCAGTGATAAACAATCTGAAAGACAAAAATAACAAACGACCTATAAATTAAATTATACACATCAATGAAAATATAATAATATTGAATGAACTAAGTAAGTTAAAATAGAACACAAAATCATACATTTTAAATCTATCTAACTTAAATTGACCGCCATTGAAAAATATGAAAGTAAAACAAATGATGACTAAAAAGCATCCTTAGTAAGATTATTGAATTCTGAAATTCTAAACAACAAAGTGAAAACTAAAAGATAAGACACCTTTTCCGTCTAGTAGATTTTGATCAATTTCAATACTTAAGTATGAGTTCAAACTGACTTGACCTATATGATAAAATCATAACACTGACATATTTATATTAGACAGCTAAAGGAAATTAATAGAAAACTGTGGACATAAGTTATGTGTTCGTTGTCACACGTTAGTAAGGTGCATATCTGCGAGCATGAAGTAACTAATATCCTCTCAGAAGTTCATATGGGTGTCATCCAGTGTTATGCAGGCAGAGACACTACCATTGAGCCACTGGAGCTCACAAATGACTGGAAAACTACTTAAACTTATGTAGGCACTATTGTAATGTAATGTGGCCCGCAAAGAGAATGTCGAGAAAATACATCGCACTTTTCAAGGCACTCACTCTATTCAAACTCATGCAACCAGCCAGGTAAGAACCTACGGAGATTTGTCATCTGAAGTGGTGACTGTCAGGGATGCCTACTGTCCCCATTTCTGTTTAATTTCATCACAGATGCACTAATGGACTTAACCGTAACTGACTTCATTCACTCAGCGATTGACTTTTTACCTGAGTATTATCTCGCTGACTAAGAATATGCAGATGATATAATCCTTCTAGGTGGTGAAAACGCTGACGAAATGCAGCCTTGTGAACACCTAGAGCAGTAATCGTCGGATGTTTGGCATGCGATCCACGCACTCCCGTCAAATGTAAGATGATGCTATAAGACTGGTCTGAAACGACTAATAGCTTAAAGATAGAGAAGTTAAATCAGTCTTAGCAGATTGATCGATGACCAAATCTCAGTACGTATACAGAAGGCTCGTTTGAAATTTGCCTTCCTGCATCATCTCTCGCGTATACGTGATATCCGGCTGACTATGGACCAATGGACATGTGTACTGCACAGCAGTAGCAGCTCACTTCGTCCCCCTCCTCTGTGACTGTGAGTGAGATATGGACACTGAAAGTGGAACACACGAAAAGGCTAGCTAGCGGCCTTTTATTAGGGGTGTCTAAATTCTACTTCATGGTGTTAGGTGGTATAATAGGGTGATTAATCTTGCGGTTAGGCATTAGTCAAGTGTTAGGTAAGAAGGGTAAGATAATCAATGAATGAGGTTGTGAAGTTACATCGATTTAGATGGCTGGGGAATATGTTAGGCATGTCTAGCTATCAATCACCTCTCTCGAGGAGCAACTGCAATGGCCATGTCCCACAGACCAACCACCTAGTGTTCAGTATCAAGCGAAGGCATATATATATATAGACCACCGATGAGAAGCCTCTAGAAGATCTGGATTTTGCAGATCATATATGTGAAATGTCACACAAACTCAAGACATGCAGTCGAAAAACAACAAACTGGTTGAAGAAGCAGGCACTGAAGATAGGACTCCAGGTGAACGCAGAGAAGACGCAGGTGATGAAGATAACCAACCAGCACCAATCACCATCAAAGGGAGAGATTTGAATGACGTTACCTCCTTCACTTATCTAGAAAGCATCGTTTCAATCACAGCTGGCAGAACGGATGAAGATGTCAAAGCCAGCCAGCCAGAATCGGAAAGGCAAGATACACCTTCATCAACCTGAAACCAGTTTGGAAATCTTTTCCACCAAGTTAGTACAAAGAACAAGATTCACATTTTCAACACAAATGTTAAGTCAGTCAGTCAGTTCTCTTATATGGGTCAGGAACTTGCACTGCATGTCACGAAAAGGATTTCCAACAACCAGTTGCAGACTTTTATTAACAGATGACCACTTCGCTGGTTGGCTCCATAGTAAAGATCAAATGTCCAGAAAGAATAAGTAACAAGAAACTCTGGCTATGACCAAACCAACCAAGAGCCGATCGCTCAACAAATATGTAGGAGAAAATGGCGATGGATCGGACATACGCCACTGAGGAGAGCGTCAAATGGCATCACGCAGTATGGAGGTCATTGCTCGAGTGGAATCCCAGTGGGAATCAACGACTGGGTCGTTAGTGCGAGGGTGACATGGAGGAGATGAAAGATTATGGGGAATCGTGGTCAAAGCTGAAGAGGACAGCAGAAGATAGGACAAAGTGGAGATGTGTTGTTGAAGTCCTATGTCCCACTCGAAACTCAAGGGAAATATATATATATATAACACGAACACCCTTCATTTTCGCATTGATTTCAAACAAACAGACAAACAAGCAATCACATCCCGTTCACTGTCATACAAATAGTAGCTGAAAAAACAGAACACTTATTCATTAAATCTTTGGAGTTTTGTATTTCGGATAGTAGTAAAACAGAAATTTCTTCACACATAACAAAGGGAATAAGAATAATCGCGTAACAGATAGATTACATGAAGAAGAGAACTCTGAAAAAACAAACAAATTCACACACACACATTATTCAATAACAATAATTATATACACAAAAAATCTAGTCCGTTAACACGCATTGAACCAAACTACTACATCGCTACATCAACATCATCAGCGGGAATAGAAGGACCACCGCCACCACCAGCAGTAGTAGTGATAGTAGTGCCAGTATTGTCCTCACCCACAGGATTTGTAGGATTCTCATCACCGGCAGGATAGTCAACGGTCATAGTTTCATCTGATTCTGGTCGTTCCATGAGATAAACACGACAAGTTGAATAGTTTTCAAATAGCTGAATGTGAAAAACAAACAACAACAAACAAAATAGACAGAATACATCAAAGGGGGAATGAAACTAAAGGAAACTGTAAATGACTTAATATCTTTATTTTTTGATTATAGCTTGATTCCACGCCATATTTTTAGTACAAGTATGGAATTCTCAGTATGTGATATCGGTAGTCCAAATTTTGCAGGCCGACCAATTGATATCGGGTGTGCGTCGGTGGGGGAATGAACCCCGTCCATTTGCATGGTCGGTGAGAGTCCTAACCGCTGTGCCACCCACGCACAGACTTAAGTCAAAATGTTCTTTTAGCCGTGCTGATTATCACTGTGCATTAGATGAAACTTAAACACACACACAGGGTATATTCGACAGATAGAGTTAGCTGAAACTGGGAACACTATGAAACCAGACTTCAAACTTATGGACTAAGTGTCCTTCACACGTGTGAGAAAATAAACACACAAAAAATGAGAGGATTATAAATATAAGAAGAATAATAACAGTAAAACTTGGTGGAATAACGATGGAGAAAGTGGTTTATTTACTAGTGCAAAGAAGGTTAGTTAGTTACTTCGTACCTGGTACTATTTTCATTACATAAAGTACGTGTGAATTATGGTATCGTGGGATTTTTACACTGAGACGTGCATGCATAAAATCTTTTGAAATGGCTTCTTGTTTCACCTGAGGAGACACAAGGTTGGAGCTGCGGGTGTTGCGATGGATGCTCACAGTTTGATAAAATCCCTTTTAGCAAAATTTTTGGCATGAAATCAAGTACATTTCAACGATGATGCCAACGATATGGCCGACTGGGATACCACTCGCCAAACTGACTGTTTTCAGAGCCCTATACGAGGTGTGACATAGTCTTTTTAAGCAACCCACGAAGGAAGAATATAGGTAAGATGTAAGAGTTGACAAACTGTAAGAGGAGGGATTAAGTTATGCCTCAGAGCTTTAACTTCTTAATGTAAAATGTCAGACGAAAATTTTTTTGGAAATCGCCAAGACATGGGAAGACTAGGATAGGTCAGAAGAAAGCATTAATCCAAGATACTTAACTTCAGACTTGGTTTCTATATCACTATCATCAATTTTGCAACGGTCATAGGAACCAGCAGCTTCATTTAACTTCCTTTTACATTGGGAACTCAAATTAACAATCTGACATTTAGAATGATTTAGTTTGAGACTATTAGACGAAAACCATTTGCAAACTTTTGATCACGTGGGGACTACTGAGAATTGAATGGATCTGGGGGATTACAAAGAGTAAGTGCATCTTATCAACAATTTCCAGTCACTGATTCTAAGAGTTTTGATGAACCCAGATGGGCAGTCGAAATCTCCCTACATAATAATAATAATAATAATAATAATAATAATAATAATAATAATAATAATGCAATAGAAGAAAATCAATGAACTTACAACAAAAATAATTGAACGATCACCATTAGTTGTTAATTTTATAGCATGCCATGGTAGCGCCTCGACATTTGTTCGTGTAATAAACTCCGAGATATTCCTTTTTGGTCTATAGGAAAGATAAGCGAATTTTAACAAGGAGAACATGAAAAATACGCCTACAATTTATAATGGTCTACATTAGGACGTAGGATAACATAGAGAGATTTAATTATGTAGGCGTGTCAATGGTAGTCGATTGGTAAAATGCTTAACCACCATGCGCTGGTGGCTGGGGTTCACAATTCCTTGTCAACACGCTCGACGCAGACAAAATTTACTAATCGATAAGAAGGAAATCTCACACACAAAGGGTCAAAGTTCAAGTCAAGGAAACAATCAGTACCAATACAAATAGCCTGCAGGGTGTGAAAACACACAAAAACAACCAATCACGTTCGAGGTCAGGTGACCAGGAGAGATGACTAATAAACTCGTGGAGAAATCTAAAAGCTCATTTCAGCAAACTGAAGTATGCGCTGAGGTGAGGATGTTCCCTAGTAGGGCAATGAAAGCTTCGCAAATAAACCAGCCAGCTCAGAGAACACAACAACATCAAAAAACTCTCCTAACACCTCGTGTAGCCGGTAAAGAGGGAGGGTTGGTTAGGCATGAGGCGAGCAAACCCACGACCCACCCCCTATCAGGCAGACAACACCACTGCTACTGACACTTTAGAAATGAGGTTTGAACACCTCAGCTTCATTGGGATTGGAAAGAAATGGAGAAAAAATTGTGCAGGCGATAAGAACTTCCTGAACATACTCATGAAAATCATCAGTGAGGATGAAGAAATCTACAGAGCATGTTTGTAGTATACAGGGAAGCAATATATACTGGTAAATTTACACCAATCAAGTTTAATCAATGCGTGTTCATCAGATGCTGGCTGGTTGGTTTCAATATAGAACTTTGGACCGATGTGCAGCAGTTCGAGTTGCCACACTTCACTCAGCACTCAAAGGCAGAGAAGAAGAAAGTAAAAGTAAGTGCAAAATAGAGACAGTAGACAGGGATATGAGACAAAAGGAATAGTAATATCGAAGAACAATATAGTTGCATTAAGTATTATAAGTCACAAGGAGTAAATACACCTGCGCCATTGAGAATGTTTCTAAGCCATATCACCAACTGTCTCCAACCATTGGGGTTCACCGTTCCAAGGACCCCAACCACACAGCAGTCTACACCTTGCTACGTGACTGGCTTAAACTAACTGTTGTGGATTTCATTGACAGATAAAACTATGTTTTTGGTTTGACCAACACTGGCTCTTTATCAACCTGATCAGTCCTATGTCAGTTAACAATGCCTGTTTTCGAGGAAGGTGATGGCTAGGGATGCATACGTAACACATGTGCTAACCATCTCAATCAATGTAACACCTTCACAGCCTCGTCAATTAATTTCCCCCCAAACCTACCTAGCACTCGACCGAAGCCTAACCTCAATATTGCTCACCCTATTATACCACTTCACACGGGAGATAGAATGCAGACACCTATGATCAAAGGCGGCTAGCTAGGCTTTTCATGTCTTCCACTCTCATTATACCAAGTTCAGTTCTGGTCTTGATGAATATAGAATTATAGAAGAGCAATGCTAATCAGCTTCCAAAGCAGAATTTCATGAAAAGCTGCCTCCGATCAATACTGAACATCAGATGACCAGCTAAAAGGGATAAGCGATAAGGAAGTCTGACAACGAACCAATTAACCCCCCCCCCTAGGCAATAGCCTAACACATACACACCGTAGGAAATGGAAATGGATTGGACATACACCAAGAAAACTTATAAGTGATGCTACACAACAGGCAAACCCTTGAGTGATACTTAAACATAAAGCCATACAAATTAAAAGTCCGACGGTGACATGGAGGATATATTATTTAGAGAGGAAATGGCCAGTCGTAGAGTCAACTGAAAGTATTGACAGGGAAAAGCGTAAAATGAAGATATTTTGCTAAAGTCTTATATTTCAGTCAGAACTCAAGGAATCAATAATAATAGCACCTCGACCTTGTATGGAATAATAGTCTACGAGCTAGCTACCCTTGTAACCAGAAGGACCTAGGTTCAAACCCCTCGTGGTGTGTGCGTACTGATAAAGAGTCACAAACTGGGGTGACGAAACAGCTGTCCAGTACTCACTGCAGGTTTTCCAATGGTTCTCTAACTGATATCAGCTCATGATAAAATCCTTCAACCAATCAAACAAAATCCCTACAAAAATCAATACTTGATAACGTAGAACATTTAAACAACAACACCAACAAGCGGTACTTACAAATTAGTTTGAATCGATTCATTCACGATCGAAGCTACTGTATCCGTCTGTCTTGGAACTTCTTCTTCTCCTCTATTATTAGAAGTATTCATCGCCGTAGTATTCAATATATCACGAATAGGTACCATTACAAGCCAACTATGCATTAAATCGCTGGCTGTTTTACGTGATATAGCAACTTCTGTGTCTAATTCATCAACTTTGCTATTAGACTTTGCTGATCGAAGGTACTGAGATTTCGAATGTTTTGAACGACGTGATACTAATAGGAGAAGTATTTGTGGAGAATAAAACTGCATATCTTGTAATTCATAAGGTCTAGAGAAGGAAACCACACACAAAAAAAAATCGAGAGCGAACGTGAAAAATTTGTAAAAGAGCATTTACATTTCAGAGGGACAATAAATAATTCAGATTCTTATATTGTACTCATAAGTAGATACTATTGGCTTGAACGTTGGAGTTTCAGTCAGCGAGTCTCTAATTCGGCTCCCAATTTACTTACTTAGGTTTTTAAAGCACCTCAACTCACTGGTATCACCAGGCCTTACATAATACGTGCATCTGATAGATTGGCATACAAGAAATCTGTCACGTGAGTCACGTGGAACCAAGTTCAGTTAGTGGATATTCAGCTGGGAATGACAACGCCACTATCTCTTTTTTTCTATCAGAATTGACACCTATGAACAACCAATTCGCTATTTTCATACACATATAGAAAATCAAAACAAGTGATTCAGAGAAGAGACTCTATTCAACAAGGAATTTATTATCAAGCTGTACAATCGTATACAGATACGGGTTTTTTAAGAAATAATATCCTCTGAGGGAATTGAATCATAGGTGTGAATGCATAAAATAATAATAATAGTATGAAATGCAATTAAATCTAAAATGTTTGTGATTATAATCATAGTTCAATGTCAAGTGGCAAAGCAAATTAATGTCATATATAGAATAAATAATTCATAGGATGTTTAGAACTTGGAAGGGGTGCATAGTTATAGGATTAGTAGGCAAATAGAAAGAAATAAAAATGTTACGTGAATGTTGTGTGAAATTTGATAGCATAGAATTTAGCGTTGTAAAAGAGAACTGATTTAGAATGACAAGTGGAACATGTGAAATAATACTGGGGACAGTTCAAAGTGAGATTAGTAATAGTAAAAATTGACGTAATAAAGGAAGAGTATACAAATTGAATAGACAAAACGAAAAATAAGTAGAGCTCAAGCATGATTAGGGATTACCACACTTTAGCATAGAGGGATTAAGACCATGAAAGTTGGAGGGGTTGAACGAACCTTTTCTGTACACAGAGATCTGGCTTTTCTGTTTCGATAGCCTAAGCTGTTTCAGCAATACAGATAAGTCGGATACGTAGTGATTTGGGTAGATTACTTTCCACCTTGTAGATGACCTTAAAGGCGGAGGCTATAGAGATAGGGTGATCATTATCGACCAGATGTTCAATGATCACGCTTCTTATTGCTCCACTTCCACCTTTTCGTAACTACCATGCAGGATAGTGTTCTTGCACCCTCTTGAACAAAACTGGAGTGGAATGACCGATATAGTTAGCTCCACACGAGCAGGTGAATTGACAAACGCGCATAGAGTTGGTCAACTACGGGATCTTGTATTTCAGGTTATTGAACAGTAATGGTCGACCGGTAAAGGCTATTCTCAAAGTAGCATTCGATGAATTATTCTATATGTGACACTAATTGTTTTGCCACTTGACATTCAACTGTGATTATAATCACAAACATTTAAATTGCATTTGATACTACTATTATTATTTTATGCATCCACAACTATGACTGAATTCCCTCATAGCATATAATTTCTTAAAAAGAACCAAATATAAACGACTGTACAGCTTGATAATAAATTCGTTGTTCAAAGATTCTTTTCTCTGAATCACTTGTTTTGATTTTCTATATGTTATACTATGGGAATCTTCCATGAATTAAAAAAGTTTTCATACATCACAAAGAATCATAATTTATTTGAACAAGTTACAAACTTACATATTCAAAAAGATTATTGAACCTCCATATGTAAAACTTATCACAAAATGAACCGATAATCTCATCGATCCATTTCATAATCGATTATCATGAGTACAATTCGCATTATTGTTACTATTCTTGTTTCGGCTAATTGGTTTGTAATTATTCTTACAGAATTTTAAAAGACTCATAAGTGAACAAAGAATATTCTTTTGGATAATTCCATCATTAGGTTCTACAGTTTGACAGCTTGACAAAGATATATTATACTCAACCAATGATTTATAAGGCAATTGTGAATAACCTTCAAGCATTTTATACCATGACTCAATTATATCTCCTATACAACTGGATAAATTATGATCAACAAACTTAGGACAATTTGACTGCATTCCCTGGTAAACAAACAAACGTTATAATCCCGTGTAGGATGGGATGGCTAATGAGAACAGCTAAATGTATGAAAATATGTAATCAAGCTACTAAAGTCTGGGAAGGCAGCAGAACCGAACAGTATTCCACCGGCAGCATTGAAAACAGGAGCAAAGACTGCAGCGAATGTGCTCATGCCAGTACTGAAAAAAATTTGAAAGGAAGGAAGGAAAGGCACCTACGAATTAGAAGAAAGGTTAATTCGTCAAACTATTAAAGAAGGGAGAACTAAGGCTTTGGAAAAATTGCCACGAAATCATACTCTTGTCCACGGTAGGCGAAATATTACGTGGCGTCATCCTTGAAAAACTGAAAGATGCACTGGATACGAAACTCTGCCAAGAAAAGCACATTATAGGCGGATTAAATGGAGACATTACGCATCATCATCGAACAGAGCATAGAAAGGCAGTCAAATCTCTACCTCAATTTCATCGATTTTGAAAAGACCTTCGACAATGTTAAACGAGAGGTAATTTGGAAACTACTTCAACATTATGGAGTGTAGTACACCAAATGTTTACCGATGACATTCAACAGGTATATGGCAATGGCACGTGTTAGGTGATCCACAATGGAAAACTCAGTGAAGCCTTCTTATCGGTTGATAAGATGACTCAGGAAGATCTGGATTCCGCGGACAATTTATGTCTAATGTCACAGAAATTCAAAGACCTACAGGCGAAAACCAAGAAACTGACAGAAGAGGCAGGAAGCGAAAACAGGACTCCCAATGAATGTAGGGAAGATGGAAGTGGTGAAGATAACCAACCAACAGAAACAACAAGCAGTACCAATCGCCATCACCAGGAGAAACTTATCTAGGAAGTAACGTTTCAACAACAGGCACTTCGGACGGATGAAGATGTCAAAGCCAGAATCGCAAGGGCAAGGTACACTTTAATCACACGAAAATAAGTTACGGAATCTTCTGCACTCAGTCACCGTAAAGAACAAGATTCGGATTTTCAAAACCAATGTGAAGTCACTTCTTCTATATGGGTCAGAAACTTGCAGTGCACATCACGAAAAGCATTTCAAACAGCCGGCTACAGACTTTTATCAACAGCTGCCTTCGCTCTATGTTGAAGAACAAATGGTCAGAAGAATTAGCAATAAGAAAATCGTGAAACAAGCAAACAAACAAAGCAAGGACCTATGTCTCAACGAATATTCCAAAGATAATAGCGATGAATCGGACACACATTGATGAGATTGTAGAATGATATCGCATGCCAGCCAGGTCATTGCTTCAGTGGAACCTGAATGGGAAACGACAAGTTGGGAGTGGACCCGAGGGTGACATGGACGAGATCATGGGAGGAGGACATTAGAAACTACTGGTAATCAAGAGGCCAGTTAGACAGGACGGAAGAGACTAAGAATACAGTGGATATGTGTCGGTGAAGCCCACTCGGAACCCAAGGGAACAATTAGAATAATAAATCTCAACTGATGTAGAGTCACACACCGCTTGCTTGTATAAATTAATACTCTACAATTAACTAATACATCCCATTAAAGCATACAATATAAATACAGAATATACTGGAACCAACCTTCAGAATGCACATTATTTCACATAGTCATTCAGTTAGTTATGTCTTCATAACAATAACTTTTGATATGATAGACGCATGAAGTTTTTATTTATTCATTAAGAAATATACCCATTACAAAATAGACTCAGTTTGTCGAATGTCACACATAATGAAACCAGACACATCATAAGAGATATGTTTGTGAGTGGGTGTGTGTTGTCTTTGATACTTTTTAACTGGATCTACAAGGGAGATGTGGTTCCATAGGCTCAAGGTATCGACTACCAAATCAGTGACTAATGATAAGTTCAACCTCCACTCCATCCCACCTACTGGATATTTGAGAAGAGTCAGGGGTAGTTTGTCACTAGCTGGATAGATAAACGTGTTCAATATATTATAAAGATATAAAGAGTACACTTACAAATTTGCAGGGTTTGAATCACCGGGTATAGAATCCAAAAGAAGTTCAACACCATTCAATACGCTACAGAAAAATAAAGTAAGACAACTGAAAGTTCATAGAAAATCAAGAATTCAAAACAAAGGCTAATAACTTTTGTACAGCAGTACTAATACACTTATACAGAAGACGTTACCTCTCTGTTAACAATAACGAATAATAACGTACATAAAAATCTATATCTGTTGATTTTCTCAATGGACAATCTGTAGCCTGAGCCTTGTCTTCTGTCGTTACACGTCCAGTTGTTAAGTCCTAAATAGAACAGCGGAAATGCGCATCTTTGTGGATCCCACTGCTAGTCACTATCCACAAGTTTATTGGTAATCTTATCTATTTGACCAACTTATTTCCAATCAACGGGTCATTATTATCGAGGAGTTTCAGCTAATTCGATTTACTTCCTGGATTAGGTTCATGAAATGTAACTTACACAATTTGAAGAGATGAAATTTCACTGCAGTTTGTTTAGAAACCCGAAATGATTCAGAATGCAATATGTGATCTGCCTGATACCATAGATGATAAACGAGAAAACAAGGATGATTACATCATGCTACTAACAGCCCCTCCGAGATTCAAAGGCGTGTCACCCAGTGCTGCGCAGTCAGACACGTTACCACCACTGAGTTATTCGGGTTTGCGATTGACCACCTGTAGGAGTGTATCAGATAGCTTGATTGAACACCAGGTAGTAAGCCACTGGTGTAGACTGAATACTATCAGCCAAGGGACGTGTGTACTGCTCATCAGTTCGCTCTGTCCTTCTCTATGGTGGTGAGACGTGGCCATTGAGAGCGGAAGACATGAAAAGGTTGACTCTTTTTGACCACAGATGTTTACGATCTCTTTCTCACGTTAGGTGGCCTAATAAAGTAAGTAATGTTGACGTTAGGCGTAGAGTGTTGGGCAAAGAGGGAAAATCACTCGAAGAAGCTACAAAGTTACATAGATTGAGATGGCTAGGTCACGTGCTGCGCATGCTTAACCATCGCCTCCCCCGACGGGCATTACTAGCTGATATAGGTGCAGGTTGGAAAAGAGTAAGTGGTGGCCAAACAAAAACATGGCCTCATCAATCCCTGAAATCCCTGACAGTAAAACTGAGTCAGGTAGGGAGATGCAGACTTCCGGGTTGGGGCCCGCCCTCGGGACTCTAAGAATCAATGGCTGGAGACACTAGGTGACATGGCTCAAAATCGTTGTCAGTGGCTTACGCAGATGTATTCAGTCTCTGTAATCTTTTATATTCCTTTCTACCATTACTCATTCTGTTTCACTCTTATACTTGTCTAAATTCTACTGATTCTCTTCACTCATTTTCTTGTCTACCTTTGTGTGGTATTTGGAACGTGGCAACTCGAAGTGCTGCACTTCGGTGCCAAGTTCTATGTTGAACCCAGCCAGCCAGAATACTATCAGCCACCTAACATGGTGGCACTATTGAACAGCGGGTTTCAAACTTGAGTTTTAAAGTTTCAGAAGCACTAGGGGTTATACCCAACCTTCCATCTTATCCCAGTTTACTGTCGGCCAGTAGGTTAGGTGAGGTTTAAGAGTATGTCGGCCAGGAATTGGACTCTGGAGCATGTGAGCGTGGTCTGTGACGACGTCATACTAAGAATGAAATAGGTTAAACAACAAGAACTAAATGATCGAATCAATATGAGGGAATATTTCGTTTATCAGAGAACAAAAAATAAAAACAACCAATCAACACTAAAAGGCGAACAAAAACCCTACTGAAATGCAGAATTGAAACTATTTCCGTCTACTTCAATTGTCAGTAATGAACTGAAGCCGAAATTTTCATCTCCCATTGTATACGCCATTAATACTGTTCCTTTCGATGTATGACAAGATGACTTTGTTTCATTCGACTCTTCTAAACAATTGATTGATGTACAATGTACACCAAAGTCAAGCAGGTCAGGTGAACTGAAATAAGGAGAAGAAAGGAAAGAAATACATTTTCAATGCAATTCATTGTGTAGTATACATCTCATGATTCGCAAAATGAACACCATACACAATGATTAAACATTAGATTAAGTTAAATATTTGTATAAATCTCAGGAGGGGACATCTGAGACCCTACTTAGGATTCTCAATAAAGCAGGAATTAGGTTGGCATTCAAACCTAAAATCTCACTCAGAGACAAAGCTCTGTGAGCTAAAAGACCCGGTGGACCCAATTAAACAAAATAATATAATTTACAAAATACCTTGCAATGACTGTGACTTAAGTCAACTACATAGGTCAAACTAGTAGGTCAGGGGTAGTCAGATTGCCGGAACATAAGAATTTAGCTAAGGTTACGATGATTGATCCCATGATGATAAGCAATTTAGAAAAAAGCTCAGCACTACATTGCACTGCGTGCACTAACACACAACCACACAATAGGATGGGAGAGGGTTAAAATTCCAAGAAGTAATCTATGCAGGTGGAGAGAGAGATTGATTACTGAATCCTTGTTCATCGAGTCTACACCCAACACATACAACAGAAATTACTCAATGCAAATATCAGAGATATGCATGGAAGATATTATTACCACCAGTCAGTCGAATTAGAGGAGGATAATAAATAATCTTAAAATTCTGTTTTAATTCACGTACATAATAACATTCTGACAAGTTACTTATAATGACTGTAAAAACACCCTTCTTATTTCCCATGTGATTGTAATTGATCAATGACACTCGTATTATTATTTCTGAATGCACATTATCCCATATTGATTTTTATTTAAATGTCTAATCATCAATTTCACTCATGTATATAAATGAAGCAAGAAAATTGTGTGAGCAGTCACTTGATATGATTATGAGTGGCAATAATTTGTGTTCGAAACGTCATCAGTTAATATTATTGTATAACACCACTGTGTGATTTATCAAAATAAAATCTTATCCACAATGGACTCAGTGAATTCCATTATGGGTAAAGTTTATTTTGATAAAATCACAAAGTGTTTGTTATACAGTAATATTTACATGATGACCACGTTTCGAGCACAGTTGATTGCCACTCATAATCATATCAAGGCATTACTCACACAACTTTCTAACTTCGTTTACATAATTCCACTATTTTTCATCACTTGATTTGATTGGTAGTAGTGCGTGTTGGGTGCAGACTCGATGAACCAAGCAGGATTCAGTAATCAATCTCTCTCTATCTCCACCTACCTATATTACTTCTTGGAATTTTAATCCTCTTCCACCCTATTGTGTGGTTGTGTTAATGCATGTAGTGCAGTGTAGTGCTGAGCTTTTTTCTAAATTACGTATCTTCTCGGGGTCATCCATTCTTACCATAGCTAAATTCTTATGTTCCGACAATCTGACTAACCCCTACCTACTAGTTTGACCTATGTAGTTGACTTAACTCACAGTCATTGCAAGGTATTTTGTAAATAATATTGTTTTGTCTAATCGGGTGGGACCCGAAGGGGAAGCCGCGAGTTGGTTGTCATTACGAGGGAAACGTGGAGGAGGTTATGTGCAGCCAGGTGAAAACATTGGCAGAGAACCGAACGCAATGGAGATGTGCGGCTGAAGCCCTATGTTCCTCTAAAAATTAAGGGTAACAATAATAATGATAACAATACTGTGGGACTTTATCAAAATAAATTTTATCAAAAATGGAGTTATACTCTACCACAGTGCGAAAGTTCTACTCTTATATTATTCTCAGTGAAATTGAAAAAAATGTATATATATTTCCAGCATCCAACTTCAGAGACAGAATTTCACAAGGTGTTTGATGGCTTTTGAAAGGTTTCTGGTGCATCTACACCTTACTCGACATTTACATTTGAGGCTAGACAACTTTGATATGCAAAAAAAATGTTTGTCTGCCTCAATCTAATAAGTACTCATGTGACGTGTGTAGCAAACAGTTAAGAGTAGTGTTCGCCATTCGTTTATTGATTTATGGAAGCCTTATGAACAAGATCTTGCATCTGGCCATGTGTATATATCAATTTAACTGTTGCTGTGCAGGTAGCCAGGTGTATCAGTCATTCGACGCGTATCCTGTTTAAAAGGGTTGAAGAACACCTATTCCGCATGGCTGCAGAGTGCTAATAGTGGCTTTAATGTGAGCGGGATAATAGAACACCTTGTCAACACTGGTCATTCCATCAGAACAAATGCCCCCCCCCACACACTTCAAAGTAATGTACAGAGTGAAGACCAAAGACAATACGCTTTTATCTACTTTGTACAGCTAAAGCTTTAGCCATTCAGATGGAAAAACCAGAGCTATGCATACAAAAGAAGATTATTCAACCACTTCTATTATCTTGGAAACAACCTTATAACTTTTGTATTTCTTTAAGACTCCCATGTAATTCCATAATTTCCTTCATTTCTGCGTACATCTTAATCAACACTCAATCATTAAATTGTTCATCTTGTTACATAACTGAAGTACCATTAATCAACTTCTTTTATGCATTATTAACTAACATTAACAACTATGTTTTCTCTTGACAACTCAGCACAACTATCCTCTTAATAATCTCTACTCCCATCCCACTAGTTACAACTTGACCATACATCACATCTTTTGAAATATTTTCATGAAGTAAACAATAACCTTAACTAATTATTATTCTTATCTGACAAAGGTAGTGTGTACACACACGCACATATACAAAAACAACTAGATTGTAAAGCTCAGTGAATGAATTCGCCGTCGAAAAGAGACTCTTCGCTGAACTACGTGTTTTCCTTTCATTTATGTCTGGATGCGGATTGATTATCCATGAACTAAACACTAAAATCAGCATTTCTAGTCAGTGATTACAGAGGCAGAAGTGTTCATCCTTCAAATTTGGATTTGGTTTACGTTGTGGTCAGGAAATAATCTCATTGGATAGCTTTTCATCGCATTCTCTAACATTGAGCCAATCACCAACCAATCAGAACGAACTATTTTCCGATGGCCTAGACCACTTTTAATGTGTTTAAAAATGTATAAATATGATGTGCATTTTTATGAAATAAAAAAGACCCGTTATCATTTCTCTTATCTTCTGTCGTTACACTCAAGAGCAATTTAAAATGCAACTGCAATTGAATATTGAAAATAACTTAAGAAATTACTTACTCCCCATTGAATAAAATCTTTGTAGACCGACGGTTCACATCTAGACAGCCACGAGTAGTATTTGAATTCTGAAGTAAAACACGTGAAGAAATACATTACTTGACAAGAATTATAAAACAATATCGTCAACTAAAATTAGAACTTAGGAAATTTTTTGGTTGTACTAATTGGCTGGCATGTGCGTCGGTGGCACAGAGGTTAGGATGCTCGCCGACCATGCACATGGTCCGGGGTCCGACCCCCGGCCACAGACGCACTTCTTCACTCACCTGAATAAACCAGTAATAAAGCTGGTAAAGAGGAAAGGTCGGACATGAGGCTAGCAACCCCATCCTGTAAAAATGAACTCTGCTACCGAAACTTCGAGCCTCTAACTTAAAACCCTATGTCCCACTGCGAACGTGAAGGAAAAAAATTGGTTGGCATAAAGCTGTTGTAATGATCCACAAATATGCTGTGCAGCTGTAGAGTATCAATGAAGTCAAAAGTATTTCTGTAAGAACCAAAGGAATATTCTACTGTAACGGTAGAAGATGAAGACTTGCTGAAGGAATGTTTATTTGGAAATTGGTGTCTCTATATAGCCAAATTATGTACACCTAATATCTTCAACGCAAAATTTGCACAGATCTTCGTGTTGTGGTACTTCTGGCCTTCCTTCATATTGTGTTTCTTTGTGTTCCTTTCAAGTCTCCCATGTGTTTACACAACGGTGTACCATTCGCCTTCTCTGACATAAAATGTATCTCCTTGATATTTGACGTCTTTATGTCAGCCGATGAACGTCTCTTCGTCTACTACTGATAAATCTTATAAGTAGCATTCGCCACAATCCCTGCAGTCAAGCAGAAATAGTTAGAGAGTTCACGTACCTACAAATAGCTGTATGATTAATAGTAGAGGCAAATAAAGGTTAGTAAAAGTGACACGCCAAATTCTATAACATATCACCGTTTGTGTTAACTTCAGTGTAGACAATCCTGTCCTGCATTAGTGAAACTTGACAACTTCAAGCTGACGATATCAGTCAATTCTGTGCAGTTGACCATCACTGTCCCTTGTAGAACTGTTTCCGTCTAGTGACAACATCATGCTCTTCAGAAAGCTGCGTTTGGACATATCATGGTTGATCTTTCAAACAGTTTTTGTCAACTAAGAACATTAGAATTCATGGTATAGAGACGTGAAACGAATTTTATCTCAATATCTCTAACAACAAATTGCAAGAAGCAACGCAGTCATTGTATGAAGTGATTTCATAGAATGAATGTTATTTCCATAACTGCACCATGATTTCCCCAGTCTTCTATAGGGCAGTGTCAAATAAAACGATTAGTCAACTTGTTGTCACCAGTGCGAGTCATAGTGTGCAGTGTTTATTGTAAGACATCCTGCCTACTGTCTCTAATTATCTAACATATATTTAAATCGGACGCTGATGAAAAGCGTTCTACCGATTAACCATATTGTAAAGTAGATTGGTCGAAATTTGTCAGCAACAAGTACTTGACAACCAAAGGAACTTCTAAGTAAATTGCAGTCATCAACTTAGTCGATAGAAGACAATGGACAGAGATTCTTCATATGACGTAAATCTTATGCTTGTCAAAAGTCATCAGCATGCGTACAATGTCAAAAAGATCAAATTGGGCATCAAATGCCATTGTCATAGGTTAGGCCATTTAGGTACTCAAAAATAGGCAATACAAGAGACACTTAATTCCTTGT